ACGCTCTCTGCTAATCAGAGAGACAGGCGGAGAAACGCCCCACGGAAGCGCGGGCCATGAGCACACAGCCCGCCGCCTCCAGAACCCTATCGGGTTCGCCCGCCCAGTCCAGAAGTCTGCTGCGGGCGACAGTCACTCCAACCCTATCACCCCCGCTAGGGAGACTGTCGCCCGCACCCAGGGTGCACCACGGGGAGGTCTTCTGGCACCGCACCCCATTGGTCAAGGTCTACGGCGTTATTATTGAATACGATTGAAAATCGAATGTCACGTGTTTACACGCGCGAACGATTGAATGGAATGAATAGATCGAATCGGCCGATTTATTTGTCAATAGGTAATTAGTGGGTCGTAAAAAGTTTGACGTGTATTCTGACTAGTGTTGCGATCACCCGGATATTCGATGTTCCGGCTTTATCGATTTTTTTCGATTACTTTTGTTTTCAGTGAAGTTATTTTTACAATAGATTATAATCGTTTTTTTTTGAACAGGTCTCAATGCAGTGATGATAAAAAAAAACGTTGAATAATACAGTATTTCTTTTTGTTTCAAATATAAAAAATAACAAACGAAATATGAATAAAATTCTGGAACACCTTTTAATCAATTGACAAACTCAATAAACCACATCATTTTATTATTATTATTTACCCATCCCATTTACAATAAAAACTTTTCATAAAAAATTCAATTTCATTGGAAACCACGAAACCACAGAAGTTTACTAGTCTTGTCGTCATTTCAACAAATTGTGACGGATTCAATAACGAGCTGGTGAGGTCTATTAAAGTCGTAGTTAGTTACAAAACTGACCATAATTACTAAAACAACGAAATAATCACTTATAACCACTTCTACGAGTTGCAAATAATCGTTTACAATTGATATTATGTGGAACTGGAATCGGTAAACGACTTGGGTGGCGGTGAGAACGGGATTGTGGTAACGTTTTTTCTTTGTATGCATGCACATCCCTACTAATTGAATTGCGATTTCAAGTGGTATTGGTCTAAATATGTACACGTATTTGTGGTTATTTATAGATGGCAGTTGGTATGATTAATCTGTATCTGTGACCTTATATTAAATTTAGCTTTTCATAAAATCAATTGGAATTGGTAACATTATTAAACAATGTGCTTTTTAGAGTTAATTTTAAATCTTTGATGCTCATTTATCTGGATGTTTCGATTGTAACTAACAAACCAAATGAAGGTTTTTTATTACAGTTTTCTTTGAATTTTGTCACCCTATTTACTCCTAGTTTAGTACCGACCTATTAAAAAGTTAAGTTGTTCTTAAAATTGTAGTTATTGAGTATTTTACGTTCACCTGTACTTACGTCTTTACCATAATCACTTGACAATCCATTCAATTTTCTCAAAAAGGTAGTAACAAGAGCTCCAATCAAAAATATACGATGAGAACGAAAGTAATTTCGTTTCGGGATGCAAAAGTAAAGAGAAAACCTTTTTTCTCACGAGCAAAAAACTCTGCATCGTGATTCTTAAGATTCGGTAGCAAAAATAAACAGAAAAGACATGGTTTTGTTACTTTCTCAGTGACCTTATATCGTACAAGGTGAACCCGGGCAATGGTTCAATGGACCTTGTGACCATATTTGAGGCCTGAGACTTCAATATAGGGTTGGGAAGTGATTATGTACTGTATTTTAAAGAAATACTTTTTTAAATGAGTAATAAAAGTTATGACGTATGTATGTACATACATGGATTCTCCAGTTCCGATAGTAAATTCATGTTACATTTTCCGAAAACATGTTAGATATTTACAGAAGAAATAAAATACCTAAAACTCGTTTTATTTCTCGTGCGAAAAGAAAATTATGCAAATAAAACATCTGACGTTATTATCGGGAAATAAGCTACACAGAGATTTAGCAAATCTTTAAGCACATACCAGGCACCCATGAGACAACAGAAGCTTATTCAAATATTATCGAGTTGACAATACGTGGGACATCACTACTGCGCGCGCATCAACAACTGATTGACGTTGACAAGGATCTCGACAATACTGAGAACTTCGAGTTTATTGATGTTTATAATAATGAGGAAGTTTTAACTTCACAAGGTAATGTTAATACGAAGTACTATTGTTTTCAACTACTTATTTTAATTTAAAATTAAAATAGGTATACTTCATTTAAAACTACCGAAAGTGGATAGGTAAAATTATTGTCCTCCATTCTTAACGGAGAAGAAAGGCCCTTTCATTAAACAAAATAGGAAAGAGTTAGGTTTGAAAAAAAAAGACATAATTGTTTGTAATTCAAGCAAACAGTGCATATTCAGTCAGTGATTAGGTGTCTGTTGAAATAATTGAAATAGCTGTACCTAGGTATAAAGTAAACAATGAATATAAGAACAGCTTAAATGTAAGAGAAAATTGCACTAGGTACCAGGGCAACATAAAACCAAGCAGGCTTGCTACCACCATCCTTCGAAGGGGTAGTCAAACCAATACTTTAAATAAAATAAAACTACGGAATATGGTCGAAAAACCGGGACAATCGACTCGATCGAAGGCCCGATGTTGTTGACCGAACGACCGCTGAATTTTAAAACACAACCATCTTTGTTTTGGTAATCGTTGGACAAAAAGTTTCGCCATACTAAGTTCGTATTATGAACTTTTGTTGTCTCTGTTTTTGAGATTTGGCAGACAGACGGATATACACTTTCGTTTCGACTTATACTTAACATGTTTTTTTGTCAAAGAAATGACTATCGTGTTATGATTACTTAACCAAAGTTTGTTGATTCATGGAGTCTGAATTGCACAAATTATGACGAGTCATGCATAATTTGATCCGGGTATCAAAAAAAGAAAGAGGGGGAATTTCTACTTTCAGCCAATAGATCACTTCGGAGCTGCGGACAATATAACGGGTTATCGGAGCTCCGGCTCAAAGCAGGAGTAGGAACAGGATGGTTTTTAGTCAGTAAGAGTCTGGAGTGTGACACTCCCTCTCGCCTCACCCAAGGCGGGTGAAGCCATTGGATGATTTTCCCCCCTTAAAAAGTCAATAAATAGGTCACTATTTTAATAGTAGCTTCTGCTAGCGGCTTCGCCTGCGTCTCCAGGTGTAAAAAGTAGCCTATGTTACTCCAGACAATAACCTACCTCTGTTCCTAATTTCACCATGGTCCCTTAAGCCTGAGTGACAAACAGAACACACACGGCAAAAGCTAGTAGATAATAATATTCTGCCCCGGAATTCAGGTACTACTCAACACTCATATTACTTCACATACCTAAAAACGGTCATCAACACTCAGTATCATTACGATTGGCATCGAGACGCCTTTCTCCTCACATTAAAATACCTTGGGCCTTACAAAACCTAAACTTGTACCACATATGTCACCTTATACGAAGTGGTTGGACCGAAATCTGCGTCCTTGCGACCATATACGATGTTTGGTCGGCAATCACGATCTGGCAAGTACAGAAACCAGATATGTATGTACATCATATTTTAGATTGACTTGAGATGAGTTTTTGACA